CATGTTGTGACGGTGTCTCGGTCATGTTTTGATGGTGCCCTGGTCATTTGGTGTCCCGGTTATGTGATGATGGTGTCCAAGGAAGAGATGGTCGATGTGTTGAAAACCGCAGCTGTTTCCAGATTTTTCTTTTTGTCCCGGTTTGTATCTTGCTGTTGGGGTCTCCAGCTGGGCTAATTCACTTTCTTCTGTGCATAGTAGTTTGTACTGGCAACATGTGCCCCCCATTGCTTTCAAATCATGGGACAGAGCCAAAGTCAAGACAGATTCATGAGATTATACTCAGAAGGTATCTATGGGTGTGTTCGTATTTGTCTACCAAACTCACTTACTTATGCATGCTCGAGTTTATTGATGTGTAAGATACACAAGCCTCACTCATATTTGCGTTGTTTGTTCGACGCAGCTGGGCTTCACTTTGGGGTTTGATATTTTCTGAGGACATGTGCGAAGTAGTGGATTGAGGTTGTGTACCAGTTGCGTGAAAACGGCCCTCGTTTATGGTACATGCGCAACACGTTTCGCATTTGCTGCCGCCATGACACCTCCATTCAAAATCATTGCAGTTGTAACGAGTCTCTCATCACGTGAATACAGCTTTCGCCAACACATTACTCTGCCGAGGACAGGCTTACTGTTGTGGAACAGTTTGTTTGTCCAGATGACAAACGTTTCTCGGCTTCAATCTTCAACAAGTCCTTGGTGACCAGGTTTGCATTTCGGAAGCGAAATGTGTGAGAGAGAGAGAGAGCAGTTTGTCCTGCTAACCGTCTCAACACTAATCCGCATGAGTGCAAGGCAGATATTCCCTGGAGCTGAAGGCCACAGGCCCTGCCATGGTCCAGCCAGCCTGGACTGAGACTGCAGCAGATGCAGACCCTTGACGTCAAGCCTAAAATAGACAATTTCAATGTACCCAGTAGCGATGGCCTCCGGCCTAATTGTAATGGCCTCCAACCTACTAGTGATGGATGCCAACCTAATAGCGATGTGCCTATTCGTGCTGCTACGCGGCTGGTTCTTCCGCACTGGGAGTCTGATTGTGTCCATACCGTTGGGCGCTGTAGAAACCCAGCATGGTAATATGAGTCAGAGACAAACTATGGTCGGGGGTCTAGTCAGCTTGACCTTGATCATGGGAAGAGCTCGGGAAAGAGTGCGGATCCTTGCCGGTGTTGCTGCTTCTGGCTTGCTGGTCCGCTGCTGCTGCTGCTGCTACTGCTGCTGCTGCAATAGTAACGGTATAGTATAGTTGTACTGGTGGTGGCTATAGTCAATCGTGGTCATAATTGTAGTCGTGGTAGCGTTGACGTCGGAATCATGGTAGCAACATTTTCCCTTTGCCTTGCTTAATGTTCAAAGCCGGCAAAGCGTGGGAGCAGCCAAAAAAGGAGGCAAATCTTTTCTTGACGCCGAGCACCTGCCATTTAGCAACGCTGCTGTTTGACACTGCGAGCTTTAGCGCAGACTCTAGGCTTGTTGCTAGTAGAACAAAACATGCAACTTCATGTGTGCGTGGAGCCCTTTGTGACGCGTGCCTCTTGTGACAAACTGCCTTTCAAAAAGATGTTCTGAGTGCTATAATGAAATACATAGATCATAGATTCCCACCGTCCCGGTTCTACCTGGCTGATACGAACCCCTAGCCCTAGCCAGCTGGAGCCGTAAAATGAAGCCGCTGGCGTTTGTTTATGCCGGTTCTACCTGGCAATTCTTGACAAAATCTAAAAACCCAACAGCTTTCAACTTTTCAAGAACGCCTCAAAAGTTTGCTTGTCCGAAAACCTTATCAAGTGCCGTTACTTAGGACGTTTTTCCCCAATAGCCATGCTATGGGGTCTTGCAAAATTAATAGGCGGACGGGCGCCGTCGGGTCACCGTCAGAGCTGGTGGGCGGATGGTGTCCCGGTCATGTTTTGATGGCGTCCGGGTCATGTGATGCTGGTGTCCCGGTCATGTTTTGATGGTGTCCCGATCATGTTTTGATTGTGACCCAATCATGTTGTGATGGTGTCCCGTCCCTGTTTTGATGGTGTCCCGGTCATGTTTTGATGGTGTCCCGGTCATGTTGTGATGGTGTCCCGGTCATGTTTTGAAGGTGTCCCGGTCATGTTGTGATGGTGTCCCGGTCATGTTGTGATGGTGTCCCGGTCATGTTTTGATGGTGTCCCGGTCGTGTTGTGACGGTGTCCCGGTCATGCTTTGATGGTGTGTCCCGATCATGTGATGGTGGCGCGGTCATGTTGTGATGGTGTCCCGATCATGTTTTGATGGTGTCCCGGTCCTGTTGTGATGGTGTCCCGGTTATGTTGTGATGGTGTCCCAATCATGTTGTGACGGTGTCTCGGTCATGTTTTGATGGTGCCCTAGTCATTTTGTGATGGTGTCCCGGTTATGTGATGATGGTGTCCAAGGAAGAGATGGTCGATGTGTTGAAAACAGCAGCTGTTTCCAGATTTTTCTTTTTGTCCCGGTTTGTATCTTGCTATTGGGGTCTCCAGCTAGGCTAATTTGCACTCGATTTTCAACAACCTTCAAGAACTCAGGCTTCTTGACCAAAAAATAGCCCCTCCCAGCAAAAACTGAAATTTTGCGATTGACTATGCCATCCGGATACACACGCCCCAGCACCTTCGGTGCGGGCGGACTTCGCAATTTCAATATTCACACCAAAGCGTAGTGCGATCTCATGCGATTCTCGAGGCCTCTGAGATGAGCGGACCTAAACCCGTCGCCACTTGCCAGCATACAGTTGTAGGTTTTTATTCGTGGGATTTTTGTCCATGCAGTGGCATGCTGCAGGAGTGCAGAAGCTTGGATGCCATTTTTATGGAGTATGGCATTCTAGAGGCCTGAGTGCAGGTCCAAGGTACTCAGAAAAGTTTCTAGTTATAACTTATAACCATAATTATGCATAATTATGCTGGAGTCTACACTTTATATAGACTGGCTTATTGCTGATCCACCAGGCTTTTTTTTTTTTCAAATCTCGACACTATTTTTGTCCAGGTGGATTTGATGCGCATTCATGTACTTGGTCGTGAGTATGATGCCCTACGCTCTGGGGAGCGCTTCTTTGCAAATGGAAAGGCCACAGCGCTATTTTTACCTGCATACTCGGTTTTTGACCTTTTGCATGGGCGTGCTGCTGAAGAAAGCAGTCAAGCGCTTTTGCTGATAGGATCGGCTACCACAATTGCTTCCCGCAGGTTAAAGTTTTGGCAGGTTCTGTCAGCCAACAGAACACAAAGCCTGGAAAGATGGCTGCATGCTCAGCTAGTTGGAAAAGGCTTTGGTCGATGTTCTTTCTGGTTTGCTGACCAGTGACTGTCGTCATCGTTCCGCTCAGTTGCAGTGTTCCCCGAATTGAAACGCCTCCTGTCTGGTTCACTTTGAGGCTGAAATGCTTTTTCGTGCCCTGCTTTCACTCAGTGAAGTTCCTGAATCTTTGGAGAATTGCAGTTTTCTTGAATGCAAAGACGGTGTGCGCCTTGAGGTCATGGCTACTCTTTGCATTTTCGCGAGTTTCGAGACGAAGAAGTGGTGCTGGTGTTGCAAAACCAAATGATTCTTCCAAAGAGCCCGGCACCTGGGGGGTATTGTCAGAAGTCAGAATAAAGAAATTGTAGTTCGGTGGCTATGACTGTGACAGTCAGGCTTTGGCCTTCTTCAGGTACACTGACCATGACGGCACACTCTCCTGACTCTCCTGTTTGAGCCCACGAGAGTTGCACTGTGGAAAGACCAAGTGTGGAGGTCAGAAGTTCATGGAGTATGCTGAAAAGTGCTCACGGAGACCAAGAATACGTCTGACAATACGGACAGCAGTGTGAACCATTCGAGCTGAAAGAGAATGCACAAAAAACTGAACAGCAAGAAATCAGTTTGGTGAAGAAGGATACTCATCCACCGACTCTAAGCTTTCGCATCGGCTGCCTGATTCAACCTGCTCAAAGATTGGGTATTGGACACTTTGGCTTGGACTTGGACCTAGGACGCTACTAGGGGCTCCTGGCTACTTGGACCAAGGATTCACAGCTTTCAAGGAGCAAGTTTCCACTTTCTGTGCTCGTGATGTGGATTTGAAGAGCTGGTGGGGTAGCACACGGTTGCTTGAAGCTGGAAGCCAATTGATGGAGACTGCCACTGCTAAGATTTTCAGATCAGGAGTACGCTTGGCGGCTGGAAAAAAGCCTGCAAGTTTGGCTGAGCTGATCGTGAAATATATAAGTACCTTGCAGTGTTTGTTCAAATTTGACCTCTGGCCCATGCTTGTATGCTTTCAACAAAGTCTTTCACATAGTTGCTGTTGAACATGGTTTAGAACTAAGCAAGCCAGAGTCTGCCGACAGGCTCATGCATGTCATCATACAGGGAGAACGTGTGTTCTAGGCGGTTTCGTCCAGCTGCGTCAAACCGGGGTCCTAGAAGTGCACTGAAGAAGTCAGCCTGACCCAGAGGACCAACCGGCAAAGAAGACCCCGAAAGGGAATGCATATGTAGACTTCCATGTGGCTTACATAAGAAATATTCTTCCAAGGATCGGCCTTCACCAAGGTGGGCAGACCTGGTCTCTCCATTATTCTTTGAGTTTAAACATAGGTTATGGGGCCGAGTCGCCAGTCTTTTGCATCAAGATCAAAGAAGTTACCATTGCTGAAGGGCCCTGCCTGTCCTGGCCATTCGGCTCTTAGATAGCACTCCGTGTTTGCCTCGGACGCTGTCCATTATCCAATACAGAAAGTGTCTGAATCTCGTCGAATCTCGGATTCTATTGATCCTCCGGGGCAGCACGTATGCTAAGCTGTCGATTTTCTCCATGGATGTGACATCTAAAAGGCACGCTGTGTTTTATCAACGTTTTCTTCTTATGCTCCATCAATTGTTACCTGCCATTCTTCCCACTCTGGCCCTCCTGTGTGTTTTGTTACATAGCATGCCGCCTTCATTGGCCTTCATTGACTATTTGCTGTAATGTTTGTGGCTGTCAAAGATGTTCCCTGGTCATGCTTGATGTTCGGAGTGAGCTGCCTTCAGGAAGAGAATGGGGATCCCACATGATTACCGTCGCGGTCGTAGGGATAAAGGAGTGGAGTTGCAAATTGTTGCTGGCACATGGGCAGATCCTCGAGGATCGTACTATGAGGCTGAGAGACGGATGGGTTGCTCCATGTTTCACGTTGACCTGTCACACAATCAGCACCTCTTAACTGGATGCTCACAATGCCTTCCGGGCCTTCCGGATGTTTTGGAAGAAAACAGATATAAGAGGAAGGTAAGGGCCTTTAAAAGGGGCTTGAAGCTTCCCCCGCCTGAGGGCAGAGTGAAGCTTCCTTGAAGACGCGCTCGCACTAATGATTTGGTTCCTAGATTTTTTTGGGAAACTTACTTAGGGAGGAGTCCATAGTAGAATGAGTAGCACTGTGTTGCCAAGAGGTGCACAGGTAGAACAGTCTCGACAAAGAAACACCGTTTAAACAAGGGTGAAACACTGGACAAGGAGTTTACAGACTTGGACAACTGTAGACGTGTGCAACCAAACCGGGCTCTGGAAGTGGAAGCCAACATTGGACTAGCGCATGTCGACCGCGGAGCATGTTCCCAAGAGTGCTTGGTAAGCGGCGCCATAGAAACAAAACATAGCACGATGAAGAGACAAAGTGATCCCTTGGACTTGGAAGCCTTTTTGATGTCAACCATTTACTTCTCCAGGTGACTTGCGACAGTGGCTTCGACGGTGAAAGCTATTCCTGCAGTGTCCGCATACAGCGGCCAAATGGTGATGTTTTTGACAGACAGTCTGTAATAAAGCAGTTCGGCGATTGGACCATCGTTTGGGGTCTTGGGCTCAGAAGGGGTTTGAGTGGTTTGACTCAGTGGTTTGAGTACTGTAGGTCTGAGTGGTTTTGTGTTTCAAAAAAAGTTGACTCAGCAAACATTCGGCTGGAAGAAGGTCATGCTACTTGAGGTGTGAGAGTGTTGTCATCAAGTCTCTGCCTGCCAAATGTGATGCAGGTCAGAAATATGTGCTGGATGAGGCTACTTCAAATGAACACAAGCTTCAGTGGACACCGAGATGCAGCACTGGTGTAAGCCGTCAGTTTTCGGGGGTATTTGTTGACCCAAAAGGATCGGACCCCTGCTCAATAGCAAAAGTCCGTTGCCTGAATGTTCAGCAGCTTGCATGTGGATGTAAGGAATAATCTCCGTGGTGGTTCTGGATTTGTCTGGCAGCGCGTAACGCCGGAGCATTCGCGAAAAAGCTACGGCTACGCTCGCAGAGGCCTTGAACATGCTTTAGACCTGCAAAGCAGTTACAGATGCGAAGTATACAAGGAGTTGACACATTTGAAGTGGGTACTATATAGATGGCACTTGGTTCTGTGAAAAGACCTATGTCAAGAGGAGGTAGAGTTGGTACTTGCCCTTGCTGGATTGGATCCTTTATCTATATACAGTACATAGTTCAGGAGGAAGACACTTTGTTTGCAGAGGTACCTCTTATACTTATACATATACATAGACTCTGGTCACATTCGTGTCGAAGCTTCTGGGTCGCTTCATGCGGCAGGTGCGGTAGTGTCAAAAGGACCGCCTATATTCAATGCCTTTGACTGGCTTTGACTCATCGACCCGTCTAATGGTTTTAGGTGGATAGGGTGTGGAGTGCATGTATTCGCGCAAGCGTAACCCTGTGTCGAGGCCACATTTGATCATTTACGTTTCAACTGATCTCAGGTACAGCTGCTCACTCGGCACCGCCAAGAGCCCCTCGGAAAGCGATTAAGTTACATCAATCTGTCAATGCGTGCTTGGCATACCTCTTGTCTCACATAACTTAGCTGTATTGAAAGCTCTCGCTTGGCATGGTCCTCATGATGGTCCTCATTTGTTATTTTTGCGGTTTGCCGAGGCTCAAGAATATCATGGCAACAACTGGAACAGCTGGTTTGGCTGGCGGAAACGGGAGCACTCTGCTTGGCAGACGTGGGAGAAGGCCATGGATGTCTTGGAGCCCCAAATTTTTTGGAGAAGTAAATGCTTTTGCTGTTGGTGAATTTTCAAGAATCTCGCATGTAAAAGTTTGATCATGCATGTCTTTTCATTCTCTTTCATCTTTTGTGCCTTGAGTCATTGAGGTTGAGCATGATGATTCGCAAGCTGCCACTGTATCCGACTTTTCGCATGATTCAGGAACAGAGACTCACGCGACTTAGTATGGATGGTTTCTTCTTACTTTTTTTGATATTAAATTCAATTTCAAAGTGATCATCCAGTGACAGTAACCGTAAACATAGTCTGGATGTTGGAAACCAGTGCCGATAAGAACGCCGATGACTGTCACATCCTCGTGCATGCAAAGCGCATCCTTCTTGATGATTATCGTAGCTGCATGGTTGTTGTTTTTGGCAACCACCTAGCAATGATAAAGCTCCTCCGCGACATTTTGCCTTCTGAATTTCTCTAGACTCTGCACATTGAAGACTGAGAAGGCCATTACGTTTTACTCACCTTGACATTATATAACATTTACTAAAGCAATCAATCATCTAAATACAGTACACATTGTGTGGTTCTATGCTTGCAATTTTCTCATCTATATACATCCTTGGGCTGGATGTATGTTCGCTTGCTAAGTGGAACACACACACACACACTTGAGATAAGAGTCCGATTGAAGGCCACCGAATGCCTAGAGGAAACCTCGGGGAAAAGAGAGACCTAAGTAAAATCGGGATCATGCAAGGCGGCCCTACTATCTCGAACTACAAAAGGTCCAAAGGTTCCAAAAAGTTTGATCTCAAGGTCCAAAGGATCAAACGCTTGACAGCCGACCTGTCTTACCTGAACCAGCCTGTGCAGAACCGAGGTAGGAATGCACACCTGTTGAGCACCATCACCATAAACATGTAGCAGGTACGTCAGAGTGGCCAACTCTGATATCACCAGATCAAATGGGCGTCTTCGTTGGTAGCGATCCAAAGTGAACTGACACTACCCCCTGCTTTGAAGCCTAAAGGCTCCCTCTGACTCCAAGGGTTCCACACTTAGAGAGTTGCTCGCAAGAGCTATTGTCAGTATGAAGTTCCCCTTGACTGGAAGAAGAGTGCAAACCGAAAGGTGAAAAAGTCCGGAAAGTTGAAGATGTTCAACAAATTGTTGGAATGCATTAGCCGCTTACTGCAAACCGGTGCAAAGGCTGGATTTCTTGTTCTAGTTAGAAGCAGGGCCCAAGATGAAGTGTCGCAGGTGAAAAACTGCAGGTACGTCTGGCTGATCAGGCCAGATATCCGCATGTGCTGTGGCCGCTTCGTTGGACCATCGCGCACAGCACATGGATGGTCCCCCTGCTGCTGAAAACTGGAACTGAGTAGAACAGTAGTATGGAGTAGTTCTGCAGTCCTTGTGAAAAATTAGTTACGAGAACCTTGGAGACAGGTGGTGACACACACACAGAGGGCCGGGGACGGCGCACTCTGTAGGAGATAGTGTGTTGATGTAAGTCGACATCAAAGCCCAGTAGGCGCATGTCTTCCACGGGTTCCAGTTCCACTGGGTTGCCATAGAAGTCCGGGTGGATCAAAGTCCGGATGGCCAGGTGTTTGAGGAAGATGTGGTTGAACGCGATGAAGCGATTGTCCACGTACCGGTAGTAGACGAAGTGGATCTCGGTGTGATCTGTCAACGAGTGGTGAAGTTGATGCCAGGAGTGTTCGATAAGAGTGATGGCGACGTTGCACAAGGCCGGCGAGAGCTGAGAGCCAATCCCGGCTCCTCGGACCTGCAGGAAGTATGAGTTGCATGCCTTGAAAATGCATGAGTCAAGTGCTAGGGCTACAATCGTGGTGATGTCGTCAGTGTGTAGTGTCCGTTGTGTGGGATGTTTGCGGTGATGACGGCCAATGTGGGCAAGCTGGATTGGGTCTCCGGTTGTGTGTGTGTCCACCGTGAGGGTTGGGGTAGCAAATGTGTGTTGCCAACGGTTGACCAGGCTTTGGACGGCTTGGATCAGGCGGTCTTGGGGGACGGAGTTGAAGAATCCGGGTTGACTGCATAGAGATCCACGGAAACTGGTGTATTCTGAAGGTAGGCATGGAAATGGTGCCAAAGTTGAGGAGTGGAAAGTTGTCCTGGTGATTGAGGTAGAAGGCGATAGATCATGGTATTGAGGACATTGGATGTGACACGTAAGAGTGGGCCATAGTAGGATTTGAAGTAGGAGATGATGGTGCGACCTTTGCGCCACTGTTTCTTGGCTTTCAAGTGGACAACTCCATATGGCATCTTGAACTTGGTGTTGAAGCCCCAATTGTATTTCTGGCGAAGTTGTGCGGGGTATGTGTGTTGGATGATGGTGGAAATGGTCTGGTCTGTGTCATCTGGCAGTGGTTGGAAGAGTTCTGGTGATTGCCAGGTGGCTAAACATCCATGGAAGTAGATGTGGGGGCAGAAGATCCGGAGGTGTTGTAGTTCATGATCGGCGTGATGGAGGACAACTTTGTCGCCTAAGAATTCTTGCAATTGCTTGACTGATCTGGCGGTGAAGCGATCCTCGTGATGAAGTTGAAGATTGTGGTGGTTCCACTGGGTGGTGAGGAAAGAGTCGACGTGATGGGATAAAGTGGTCGGGAGTCCATGATGTCGAAGCCATTTGATATGAGGCTTTTGCGAACAGAGTCGAAGTAGCGGTGCTTGGTGGGAAAGAAAGTGCTGTTCATGTTGGCGTTCAAAAATCGGCGGAGGTGGACTGGAAGTTGGAGGTCGGCGAGGGTCACGATCAAATGGTCATCATTGGAGGACTGGTACGTGGGTAGCAGGAGGGCGCGTAGATGATCACACCGCACGGGAGCTGATCAATGTCGGGGGGGCTGCCCAACAGTGTTTCCCATCGCCGGTGGTTGTGTAGGCGACTGCGTAGTGTGGGGAGGGCTGCTTCAGGTACGCGGCGCGTGGGGAGATGGAGGGGAATGGCAAACTGTTTGTGGTGGTTGAGGAGCTGGGCGAGCCAGCGTTGAACATCGGATTGGAAACTGGGGTGGGCTAGGAAGGGAATGGTCAATGGGAGGTTGCTCTTCGGTGGGGTGAGGTTGCGATACGTCAAGGCTTGGTTGAGAAGGTGGAGAGCTCGGCTGCGTCCTGGTTCTTCAAGGCTTGTAGCCATACGACGGATGGCATAGACTTCGAGGTCGGTGTATTTGCCCGAACGGAGGTGTCGGGCGGCGTCGAAAGACGCTCGTGTATGTTGGTGAGGTGTCGTAAGACGGCAAGTGCGTGAAGTTTGTGTGATGTGTGAAGTATGGGCTGGGCAGTGGATTGTAGTCGTCGTCGTAGTCGTCGAAAGAGGCGGTAGTGGTTGGCCAGGCGTGGAGCTCTGTGTCTGCTGAATTGCCAGCCGTCTGCTTTGAGTTTGAGGTGCTGTGAGATGTAGGGCCAGTTAAGTGTAGGCTGCCATCGGGAGATTCAGATGTACAAATGTTCGTAGATCCATGCTTGGTCAAAATCCGGGTATGTAGCGATGTGGATCGTGGAAAACTGGGTGATGGTATTGGTTGCATGCCGCCAGTAGCGAAGGGAGAGCTCGGCTGAAATGGGAATGTTCTTGGCTAGCTGTTTGAGTTTTGCCCGGTGGTTGTGTTCTCTGCCGGGTATGCCGATCGCGGTGGAACCCACATAGAAGTGGCCGCGTTGGTGGTAGCGTCGTTGTGTGTCGTGGGAATTGAAGAAAAGCTTGACGTAGACTGAATTGGGGGCAAGGAATTGGGAATAGGTGTAGTGGTCTGGGTGGATAAGACGTGTGGCTGCCAAGTGGAGTAAGCCCACAGCATAGATGGCCTCAGCTCGTTCGATGTATTTGGCGTGGTGGTGAACGTGGGATAATGCTTTGTGCAGTGTGCGAATATGTTGGAGTAGAGTGGGAGTAGGTCCTCGGCTGCTGAGGAGGGCCAGTCAACAGGCCATGGCGGCTCCGATGGCCACCAGTTGCTGCAGGCTGCGAACAGAAAGCTTAGGGACCTTTAGCGGACTGCGCTTCCTGGAGTTGGATCTCGGTGGCTCCGGAGGCTTGGAGAAGCTTGACAATGGCAGCAGCGGATGATGGAGTCATGCCATAGAGCCGTTTCACGTAGCTGGTCGAGAATCTGCATGTTGGTGTAGAGTTGGGGACGCGCCGCAGCTGCGGATGCGAGCAGGGCCATCAGGTGACCTTCTTGTTGTTCCAGGGCATAGATCCAAAATCGATGTTCTGCCATGTAGAGCGGTGGCGGGCGAAAGGTAGTCGGGAGTGTGCGAGGTTCCTTGCGCCCTGTGATCACCCTCCATGGGTGCTTGGGCATGGTACTGGAGGGAGGGGAGGGGTTGGGATTGATTGCAGCGAGGATATCAAGGGAAGGGGATACAATTAGAAAAATCACATGGAAAGTAGGTGGGGAGGATAGGCGGAGTGTCTACCAAAAGGTCCAAATTTCGTACTGACATGGAAACGCGATCATGGATATGCGTAGTTGTTGGCCAGCATCATCATGTAGTCGTGGAGGTGCTGCCCAGGTCTGTGCGGTAAGTTCCGGATCGCGGTAGGGCAGTGATCCCGGTGTTCCTAGTGGTCGAGGGAACTCCACTCCATGACCGGGTGGTCGAGTCTGCCGGATGTTGATGTGGTAGAACACAAGGTCTTCAAGGGACAGCGTGTAAGGGACTTGAGAAATAGTATAATCTTGTAGAGCAGGTAGGCCGAGCCAGAAGCTACATCTTGGTAAGCCTGTGCGGGAGTAGATCGCATCCTTGAGATCGTCGACACTGTATGGTTCGTCTTCAATGTGACTGACAGGGAGCGTAACAGTAATGATGTGGAGTGGCGTACGCATCAGGAGGTGCAGATCAAGTTCAAAGCGGACGGAATGTAAATGAGGTACGGCAGAAAGCTCTTGGTATGGTTGACGTAGAGCTTCAGGATCCGGCTGCAGCCTTCGTCGTGCGGGATGAGGAGGAGGACGTGGAGGAGTCGTCGCGAGAAGGAACAACGGTACGTGAATGCGGATCCTGGGCCAAAAGCTAGTGGGAAAAGAGGGGAAAAAAGAGGGGGAAAGGTATGGGTAGTGAAAATGGGATTGCATGTGACCTGGGGCTAACGTGGGAAGATTGGAGGGCTGTGGAGCGCGAGGCAGCATAGCTTTGTTTTGCTGTCGCACAGGAAGCCATCGTCGGTCAGGCG